GTTCTGCGCACGCTGGCCAAGGGCACCGATGCCACCGACTACGCTGCCGAGGCAGTGACCGCAGCCAAGCAGCTCATGCGGCGCATTCACAAATCTGAGACCCACGGCGACTGCAACTTTGGCAATAGCTGTCGCTTGAACCGACGGCGGTACTACCACTGGGGTCAGCGCAAGCCACACCGCAAGGTTCTCTACGGACGCAGCGACTATGACGACGAGCTGGCCGGCGAGGCCGATGCCATGGACGCCTTGGACGCTACTGTCGACTCGGAGGACGAGTATGATTGCGACGAAGTTGACGATGCTGGCATGGATGACGCCGACTACGACTTTTGTGTGGATGCTGTACCGGCAATGGCTTTAGCACCAGACGCACGATGCACCATTAGTTGACACCGTTTAGGTATTCAATACTACAAAGCATGTTGCCTACTTTATTATACTCTCCGGGGGACCTTGGTGCAGATAGAATGAGGCATCGAGGCCGGCAGCCCAACATCTTGGGCGAATCGCAGTCCGTTGCGACATTGATCACTGCAAGGACACGGCAACCCGGGTAGTGGTTGCGAAGGCATTGCCATCAAGGGCGCTGCTTGCTTACACGGGTTGCCACGGTTCGTACAGCGAGGCACTGTACTAGTACGCCCCAAAGCATAAAAAACACCCGACCCTTACCCTACACCTCCCCTAAACCCACAGAAGGCCACTGCTGCTGCGAGATTCTACGTCGTGTGGTACGTCCGCGTCAAGGTGGAACGATCAGCAAAGCAAGCGGCGTCAACGGCAACAGCAACCCGTCGCTTTGGCTGTTCGTTGGAGTTTGACGTTTTGTGTTGGCACGTTAAACGGCGTTTAAACACAGCGACGACGTGGCGATCGCGATACTACCGAGCAGCGCGTCGATTCGATGGACGTACTATGTTGATTTATCGCATTCGACATGGAGCTTGTGTCAGAGCGTCTTGACCGGAGTCGCCCCGGGTACCCTTCCACAACGCCACCACCACCAAAGATACTACATCCTCCTGCCTCGACGCATACACCACTATCTACATTTGTTACGGCGACGGCTCGGGTGTTGGTTCGAGCGTCACATGGTCGTCGTCGTCGAGGTGGGCAGCCAAAATCTCGACGACGTGGGCTGCAGACGGGCGCTCCGTCGGGTCCTTCGCCAAGCACTGAGAGGCCAGAGCCTTGAACCACATGGCGCAGTGGGGCTGGATGGATGGGGAGAGGTCCCGATTGCCCTCCGTGTCCTGGGGGCTGCTGTCGTACGGTGTGCGGATCCACGAGAGCTCGGCCAAGACGACGCCAAACGAGTACACGTCCGCCG